TGTGAGTTCAAGGCCAGCCTGGTCTACACAGTGAATTCCAGGACAGCTGGTGCTACCGGGAGACCCTATCTCAAAAAGACCGAAAAAAAAAAAAAAGTTAGGGAACAAATAATTTATCAGTGGTATGCTAGAACATAGCAAATTTTTTGGTACCAGCTCTGAGCAAGAGTATTCCTGGTTTGCAAATTCATCACTTAATTATGGCTAGGAAAGGTCAACAATGAAAACATTCAGTAATATTGAAAAGAAGATTTCAAGGGCTGAAGAGATGGTTCAGCAATTAAGAGCGCTTGCTGCTCTTTTAGAGGACTTGAGCTCGGTTCCCAGCACCCACAGTCATTGGTTCACAGCCATCCATAACTCTAGTTCCAAGGAATCCAACACCCTCTTCTGGCCTCCATGGTCACCTGCACACATGTGGTATATATTAATACACTAATTAATTGATTAAAATAAAATCTTTAAAAGGGGGGATGTTTCAGCAGTGTTGGAAACCTGGGGGCTCACACATGCCAGGGATTGAGCCACACCTCAAGGGGATTTCAATTATGAGAAACAATGTAGCATGTGTGGTGGCAGACACCTGTAATCTCAGCACTCAGGAGGCAGAAACAAGATTGTAAATTTGCAGGCAACGCAACATATTTGAGCTCATGTAGTGAGATACTCTCAAAAAAAAATTTTTTTTTAAATCTTATGTTAAACAATGTAAAAAAAAATGTTCTCTTAGAGAACAGTAATGTGACAATGATTTTCTTTTTTCCAACATTCATTTCAGTAACTACATATATGACAATTACAGTAGTCAAGAGGTAGGAAAAAAACTAAATGTTTATCAACAGATGATTGAATACAATGTTATATCCATACAATAGAATATTATTCAACCATAAAAGGAATGAATTATCAATACACATACACCTAATTCAAAGAAGCCAATAACAAAGGTCATATACCATTTGTTTATACCATGTGTCACTTTTCTATTGCTGTGATAAAACACCGTGACCAAGGGAACTTATAGAAGGAAGAGTTTATTTAGCTTATGATTCCAAAGGGGCAAGAGTCTATCATGGCTGGGTAGCTAGAGTAGGAGAAGAAGCTAAACACTTACATCTTCAAGCAGGCACAGGAAGCAGAGCCTGACTGGAGATCCAGCAAGGCTTAAGAACTGTCTAAGCCCACCCCAAGTGATGGGCTTCCTCCAACATGATCACACCTTCTAAGACCTCCCCAAACAGCACCATTAACTGGGGACAAAATGTTCAAATACTTGGAGCCTATGGGGGACATTCTCATTCAAACTGACACATCATGATTCCATTCATGTGAAGTCAGGATTTGGAAAGCTACTGAGACAGAAAGCATTAGGACTCATAGGAAGTTAGAATAGGCGAATGATAGCTGAAGAATACAGGGCTTCTAGGGCTTCTTGAGGTGATGAAAGTGTTCTAATATTGACCATAGTGATAAGTTGTACAACTCTGAATACACTTAATTGTTGGATTGTCCATTTATAAATGGGTAAATCATATAGCATCTAAATTATATGTCATTTATATATATATGTGTGTGTGTGTGTGTGTGTGTGTGTATGTGTGTGTGTGTATATGTAAATTCTTTTTGGGTCTTTTTGAGACAGGGTCTCCCTGTAGCCCCAGCTAGCCTGGAACTCCCTCTGTAAACCAGGCTGGTCTTGGACTCACAGAGATCCACCTGCCTCTCCCTCCTGAGTACTGGGATTAAAGGTGTGTGCCACCACCCTGGCAATATATGTATATACATGTGATTTTTAAACTTAATGTAAAAATCAACTGTTGCCTGTTCTTTGAGACATGATGAATTAGTAATTTTTCTATCTTTGTGGAGGTAAATGGAAATCAACAAGTACGATCTTCTAAAGAAACTCGGAAGAGACGTCAACGTGAATCTGGGAGACATCAACATGAATCTGGGAGAACAGTAAGTCTAATGATAAAGTATAGGTTGAATAAAATGGCAAATATCTGAATGTCATTACTATAGATTAAAATAACAAATTTGATATCCCTAAACATATCTTCAAAGCTCTGATACTTAAAACTTGTTTGTATATATGAAGCTACTGGGTATGATAGCTGTGATCCTAGTACTTGTGAGAGTAAGAAAAAAGGATTGCTGGCCGGGCGTGGTGACGCACGCCTTTAATCTAATCCCAGCACTTGGGAGGCAGAGGCAGGCAGATCGCTGTGAGTTCAAGGCCAGCCTGGTCTACATAGTTCCAGGACAGCTGGGACTACAAGGAGACCCTGTCTCAAAAAGACAAAAAAAAAAAAAGAAAGAAAAGAGGATTGCTGTGAGTTTAAGGTCAGCCTGGGCTACACTTTGAGATGGAGGCCAGAAGAGGGCTTTTAGACCCCCTGGGACTAGAGTTACAGACAGTTGTTACCTGCCATGTAGGTGCTGGGAACTAAACCTGGGTCCTCTGCAAGAGTAGCCAGTGCCCTTAACTGCTGAGTCATCTCTCCAGTTCCCTTATCTGGGATTTAAATTGGGTACAAAGCTTTCTACAGGGGCTCGAGAGATGACTCAGTGCTTAAGAGCACTGACTGCTCTTGCAGAAGACCTAGGTTCAATTCCCAACACCCACATGGCAGCTAACAAACATCTGGAACTCCAGTTCCAGGAAAATCCAACAGTCTTCTGACCTCCTTGGGCATTGCATGACATGGGTATATTTACATATATGCAGGCAATACACTCATATACATAAAATGAGCATAAACTATTTTTAAAAAGCTTTCTACAGAACAAAACTACAAGAAACAACAAAGCTACAAAATCCATGTGTTCTCAAAAAATTCATCATCTAGTATCTCAAGAGAATGAAAACTTTTCCTTACCTAAATTCTGTAGTTTGTTTTTCATGTATTTGGAAATTTACTTTTCTGAATCAGGTAATAAATATAGTTGTAATTTTAAAAATACTTATATTGGCTGGGCGTGGTGGCGCACGCTTTTAATCCCAGCACTTGGGAGGCAGAGGCAGGCGGATCTTTGCGAGTTCAAGGTCAGCCTGGTCTACATAGTGAGTTCCAGGACAGCTGGGGCTTCAAGGAGACCCTGTCTCAAAAAAAGACAAAAAAACCCACAAAATTTATAATTTGGGGCTGGAGAGATGGCTCAACGGTTAAGAATACAGGTATGGGCCACTATGCCTGGCCAGTTTGTATTTTAAAAATTTTTTATTAGATTTATATATTCCAGAACCAGGTGTGGTGTCGCATATTTTTATTCCCAGCACTGGGGAGACAGAAGCAGGTGGATCTCTGTGCAGTTGAGGACAGTCTGGTCTACATAAGCAAGTTCCAGGACAGCTGGGGCTACAGGGAGATGCTGTCTCAAAAAAATTTATATATTCTATGTGTGTATATGTGAGCATGGGGGTGTGGGAGTGGGACATGTATGCAGGCCACAGTGTGAATGTGGAGGTCAAAGAACAACTTTCAGGAGTTGGTTCTCTCCTTCCACCGTTCCCTCCTTCTACTATGTGGGTCCCAGGAATCAAACTGAGGTCATCAGGCTTGGCAAAAAGTGCCTTCACCCACCATCTCAACAGTCCCCTAGCTGGCATATTTCATATATGTAATTTCAGAAGGGAATGGAGCAGGATGTGGTAACACATACTTGTAATCTCAGCAGCTGTTAAACTAAGCCAGGAGGTTCTCCTTGAGTTTGAGCCCAATATGGACTAAATAGTGGACTCTATGGGGGCCTGGGCTACTAAATGATACTATGTTTCGAAGACAGAAACAAGAAAAAAAAATGGAATAATCAGACATTCCATTAAGACATTAGTTTTTTCATTTTTCCCAATGTTTTAAACCTTGAAACTTTCTTACAGAATCATAATTCATTTTACTTTTTTTCAAGAAAAATTAAAATTCAGTAAAGGAAACTTGTTAAAAAATTCCGTTATCTTTACATTCATTTAAACCTATGTACTGAGGCTTGAGATATTGAGGTAAGGACTGGAGAGATGGCTCAGCAGTTACGAGCACTGACTGCTCTTGCAGAGGAGCCAGGTTTGATTCCTAGCACCCACATGGCGGCTAACTACTGTCCGTAACTCCAGTTCTTGGGGATCCAAAGCCTTCTTCTGACCTCTGTGGGCATTGCATGACACAGGTGTACTTACACACATGCAAGCAATACATTCATACACATAAAAAATAAAAATAAAATAATTTTTAAAAATTGTACTTGAAATTTAAAAAAAAAAAAGAAGAAGAGGTGTGGCCAGACATATCTGGCATACACCTTTAATCCTACCACTTGGGAAGCAGAGTCAGGGAGATTTCTGTGTCTCCGTGAGTTTAAAACCGGCCTGGTCTATATAGTGAGTTCTAGGCCAGCCAGAGTTTCACAGTGACACAGTTGACACCCTTTCTAAAAAAAATAATAAACCACAAACAACAAAAACACACACACAAAAATGCCAGGTATTGTATCTTAGTAGAAAATACTTATACTGGGGGCTGGAGAGATGGCTCAGCAGTTAAGAACACTGATTATTCTTGCAGAAGACCAGGTTTCGAATCCTAGCACCTACATGGCAGCTAACAACTGTCCATAGCTCCAGTCCCAGGGGATCTGACAGCCTCTTCTGACCTCTGCGGGCATTGTATGACATGGGTGCACTTACCTACATGCAGGCAATACACACATATAAAATTAAAAAATAATTTTTTTTTTTAGAAATTAGTAAAAAAGGGCTGGAGAGTTGGCTCAGCAGTTAAGAGCACTGACTGCTCTTGCAGAGGACCCAGGTTCGATTCCCAGCACCCACATGGCAGCTATGAACCATCCTTAACTCCAGTTCCAGGGGAATCCAAAGCCCTCTTCTGACCTCCGCAGCATTAAACAACATGGGTGCACTCACATACATACAGGCAATACACTCTTACACATAAAATAAAAACAATAAAATATTTTTTAGATGATAAATGAAAATCATAGACAAGAAGACATTTACTATAAAAGAAAATGTTAACTCAGATGTCTAATGAAGCAGACCCAACTTCAACTGCAAACTAACATGTTTGTTGAGACTGAGGGAAGGAGGTTCACAGGACTGAAGTTGTTCTCCACAATTCCAAA